ATTAGAGATGTTGAGCATTTTTTTATATGTTTGCTGGCCATTATTCTGTCTTCTTTTGAAAAGTTTCTGTTCATTTCACTTGCCCATTTGTTGATGGGGTTGTTTGATTTTTTCTTGTTGATTTTTTTGAGTTCCAGATTTTTTTTATTGTGTGTATCTATGCATGTATATGTATATGTATTACATATATGTGTGTGTGTGTATTTTTAAACACATCACAGTTTTGAAAAGTAGGTAATTTCTACAATACTCACCTGTCTGCAATACTTGCAGATTTGATTTTGTCTATGACAATGACCTGTTTGTTACAGCACATTGAGGTAGTTAGGGCAACCCCAAGGCTGGCACCGGGAGTTTTGGCAACTTCAACTAGTAGTGGCCCGGATGCTGTTGCCACAGAATCTGTTGAAAAACAAATTTCAGAAAACAAAACAAAATAAAATAAGCAAACAGACAAAAGAAAAAGAGAACGTTCAGTCTGTTCTTGGCCTGTTAATTTTATCACTGAAACTTAGATGTCCCTCCATATAATATCCTCACAGCCAGTGATAAATTCTTAGGGCATCTATCTCTTAACACACGTGTTCCACCCAGCTTACACTGTAGTAATGTGTGCACATGTCTTAAGTCTCTTCATACCCTCCACACTGTTTGGCATGGTGTCTGACACATACTAGGTCTTTCAATAAAGGTTTTTAAAATTAATTAATTAATTCAATAAGTATCTTAGCACCCACTAGAAACAAATGGATAGAGGGATGGGTGAGTAGATGGATAGAAGGAAGGAAGGGAGGAAGGATGAAAGGAAGGGAGAGAGCATGAATGAATAGAAGAATGGATAGATGGATGGATGGAAGAACGGATGGAAGGACAGATGGATGGATGGATGGATGAATAGAGAGATGGATGGATGGTGTCTCTAATTAATCAAATAGTAGGAATGGGAACACTAAGTTGAATCTGTAGACCCTTTGGGTCTTTCTCTATTCTGGACCTGACTTAGGGTCACCTCCCTCTCAGGAGTGACTTTACACATGCTTTACTTTTAGCATGGAACATTCTTCAGCCCTTCAACTCCTACTCACTTTTGGGGACTCAGTGTAAACATCGATTCCCCTGGGAAGCCTCTCCAACTCACTTGGCAAGATGCCTTTCACAGCCTGCTCCCTCAGCCTGCTCTATTCCTGCTACTGCAGCGTACATCTCACTGTTTCATAATGGTCCGTTTTGATTACGTGCCTCTGTCCTTCACCAGACTGCGAGCTTACGGTGAAGGCAGAGACCATGTCTTGTCAGTCACAGCATTCTCAGTGGCTGGCACATAGGAGGTAAGCAACTAATATTTGCTGAATGAATGTATGAACAAATAAGAAAACTCATGATGTTGCTTAAAGCTCAGAAGAGCCAGGTGTTATATGGGAAAGATCGCTGGACATGGAGTTAAAACATCGGCATTTAATTCTTATTTTTACAATATTTGGGTCATGGTACCTTAGATGAGTTACTAAAACTTTCTAAGCCTGCTTGCTTACCTATGAAATGGTACCTTTTCCACAGTGTTTGTTACAATCAGATCAATGTGTAAGGGCGCTTTGCTATGCATATAGAATATTGTTGTTATTGATATTTTATGACTTCAAAACTTTGAGTCATCTCATTTTTCAAGACTGAATATTGATCTGTAATATTTTTCTGATTTTTCTTCTGCTCTGGTGTTTGACACTTCATTAATACAATTTTGCCTTTCCACAAGTATATCTTTATCATCAAGGCACCACTCAGATACAGTGAACCAGGAAATCTGTGTTCCTCTTGCTGAAGCTCAGGCACTGTGCACTGACTCATGAAGCTGAAAGGTCCATGGGAGACAGCCATCTTCAGTTTGAAATAAAACAAGGTATTTCTTACATAAGGTAAAGAGGAGAACATCTATGTCAACAACATACATATTTCAGTGCCAAAGATTCTTGTATGTACTATGTTTCTTAACTGATTGGTAATATTGAAATAAGTTAGTCCTAAAAAAGGTTAAGAGACCATTAGGGTCTGCATCTCTTCCTATCAATTTTAGAGCAAAGTTTCAATAATATCTGGAAGGAGTCAGAAATCTTAGTTTACTAAGAGGACTTTTTGGTTCTGGGATGTTATGGCTACTTACCCCAGAGTGGTGACTTTGCCCATGAGCCTAACTATGGTGTCTGCCACTGTCTGGTCTTGCTCACCTGGCTGTATTAATTTCCGTGATCTCCTGACATCAGATGAGGGTCATTGACAATGTCCTTCCTGGCTTGTCTGTCTCCTTCTCCCTCGTTTCCTGCCTTGGTTTCTCTCTAGCACCTCACTTGGTCATGGTGCAGCCCAGGGTTCTGCCTTACTCTCACTGTGGACTTTACAGTGAGTGGCCCCTGTGCTACATGCAGCAGTGGTTTGCACCTCTTCTGCCTCCATGGGGAGCCTCTGGTGAAGAATTCTGGTCAGTCTCTGCAGTCTGTGTTGTAGTTGTCCTTCTCTCAGTAGGGGGATCGACTCTGCCCACCTCTCAATTCTAATAGTCAAAGATTTGCTACTGAGCCAAGAGCAAATATCTGATGCCTCCAGCTCCACTGCCAGCAGTCTGCTGTCATCTTTCTCTGCCTGGAGCACACTCTCTGGCAACTTCTTTTCCTGCTCAGGTCAAACACCACATGAGCTCTGGCCTAGCAGGGCCTTTTCTCACATTATTTTTCTAGAACTTTAGAATGACTAATTTTTGATTTCTCAAACCACTTTCCATAGTCTTGTTGGATTTTAATAGGTATTTGTGTGGGATGACAATCACTTATGCTCTTCCTCATGGTTTTGTCATGTATAAAGATAAATTTATTTTGGTTTAATAGATGAAAATAATAAAGTTTCTATGTTACTTATTACTTAATCTCTTACAGGTGATGGAAACTGCTGGTTGTTCCCCGGTATCCCATCTTCCTTTCCTTTCTTCAATAATAGGGCTCTGAGCAAATGGCTGCCCAGTTAAGGACCACATTTCCCAGCATCCCTTGCAGCGAGGTGTAGCCACGTGACTAATTTCCAGCCAAATGGGAAGAGAGATGTGATGCGTTGCAGATTTCCTCTTAAAAAGAATGGCTGTGCTCTCTTCACCCTTGTTTTCCTCTTCTTCTTGCTGGAATGCGGGCCCAGAACTGGTAGGCTATCTTCAACCGTGCACGCAAAGGCATGGAGCCCCAGGATAGATGACACCTAGGCTCCTCAAACCATATCCCCAGGAATTGCTTAATCTCTCAAGAAAAACCTTCTAGTATATTTAAGCTAGTATTGTGCGTTTGGGTCTTTGTTACCATGGCTGAATCTGTATTGATAGATTTTTTCACTTCAGTTGATCTCTCCAATGTATCTTTCTTGAACTGCTATTCTTAAGTAGTAGCTATTTATAACCAGGTATTTGCAGATGTAAATGTTGTAAAATTACAATCAACCACTACCCAATACACA